TCGTTTTTTTGTCCGCCATTGGGTTCCTGCAGAAATTCACGAGTTAGGAAATCAGGGATGCAGTTATTACTGCCCTTAATATATTCTATGTCAAAATCAAAAATACTTAAAATGGATTGCCATCTGGCAAAAATTTGTTTACTAGCAATATTTTGGACATCTTTTTGTAAAACATCTTTTGCAGATTTGCAATCAACTCTGATGAGAAATTTCTGATTTAATATATCATCCTGGAATTTTGAGACACACAGGATAATAGATAAGAGTTCTTTTTTAATGGTAGAATAATTTATTTGAGTTTTGTTCCAAATACCAGAATGGAAACGAACAATTTGTTCAGGAGAATTAGGAGATTCTTTCTGAAGCAAAATACCACCATAACCAATGTTAGAGGCATCAGTTTGGATGATTTTGAAAGAATTGATGGAGGGAATTCCAAGGCAAGGCAAGGTTTTGATGTATTTTTTGACTTGCTGGACAATAGAAGTATGTTCAGGTGTCCAAGGAGTAGGATTGTTTTTGAGTCGAGAATAGAGAGGTTTGACAGTTTGCCTAAGATTCTGATAGAAGTCAGAAACATAGTTAAGGGAACCTAAGAACCTCTGCAATTGGGTTTTGTCAAGGATTTCATCTGGGAATTTTTCAGCAAATAGAATGGCTCTACTAATGGGAACTATGGTAGACTGCTGAATATTGTATCCTAAAAATCTAATATTGGTTTGGAATAACTTAATTTTGCTAGCTGAGATGACTAAACCATTATGTTTGGCAGTCCCTATAAAAGCATGAAGGTGTTTCCAATGTTCATCTATTGTTTTACTAAAGATAAGAATATCATCAATGTAGACAATAGAGCAATGGGATAAATTAGATAATATATCATTCATAATATTTTGAAATTCGCTTGGTGCATTTTTAAGACCAAAAGGAACAACATTCCACTCATAGTGCCCAAATGGTGTGGTAAAGGCAGTTTTATATCTGTCTTTCTCAGCAATTTGTATTTGCCAGAAACCAGATTTCAAGTCGAATTTTGAAAATATCATGGCATTTTTTAATCTTTTGATTAGGTCTTGCTTATTGGGGATGGGATATCGGATCCATTCCAAAACAGCATTCAAAGGTTTGTAATTGATTACAAGCCTAGGAGTTCCTCTTTCTAATTCTGCATTTTTTACAACATAGAAAGCAGGACAAGACCAAGGAGATTTAGATTTCCTAATGATATTATTTTTAAGAAGTTCAGAAATTTCTTTTTTACAAATTTCCATGACTTCATGGTTCATTTGGATTGGCCTAGATTTAGTAGGGATCTGTTTTTCATTAAATGTTTTAACATAAGGAAGTTCGACTGTATGTTTTTTCCTATGCCAGAAGGCTGTAGGAAGCATAGAGCAAACTTCATTTTCAAGTCTTTCTTTGAACTGATTAATCTTCTCATTTAAGATTGGACATTTTAGTTGTTCTAAAAGTCTTTTATGATCAATTTCTTGTTTAAGAAAATTTATCTGGCTAATTTTTCTAAGGTACTTGGAAACAGATTCATCTTTAAGTTGCCTGAGTTCTTTTACTTCAGGTTTGAGTAAGAAATTAAAATTAACCTGTTGATTAAGAGGTCGGGTGACTAAGCCTTCATTAGTTATCTGAAACGGGGTCAGAAGATAAATAAAGGGTAATCCTAAAATTACTTCATCAGTCATATCTTTTACTAAGACAAATGAGGTTTTAAAACAAACATTGTCATGGCAGATATGAGCTTTAGGTAATTTATATTTGACATCCATGTTTGTACCATTAGCTGATTTTAATTTTTGAATGGTTTTTTCATAGTACTTGGTTGGGATAAGTCCTTCTTGCATGCAGTTTACATCTGCACCTGTATCAATAAGGGCTACTGTATTAATAATAAAATCATTTGCTATAATGATTTTGATTTGGAAATACCATTTTTGTAATTTAATTTCTTTGATAGAGTTAATTTGATTTTCTGTTTGTAGACACCCATCGTGAGATGGCAGCTTCGTTAAACCAGAGTTTTCCACATTGAAGGTGGAGGCTACGGGTATCCGCTGGGAAAGTGTCTTAGTTGAATTATCAGTTTTTTCACTGTCAGATTGGTAATTATCTTGAGGTTCTTGCTCAAGAGTGTCGGATAAAAGACTTAATTTTTCTGCCAAGAGTTTGTCTTGTGCCTTTAAATCTTTTATTTCAACTTTTAATTTATTAATTTCACTATAAAGATCTTGTAAGGTTAATTCTTTTTTCTTTTCCTTACTAAATCTTTCCATAGTTTTGTTAATACTAATTAAAGGTTTTTCTATTATAAGATGTTTGTTTTTTTCTGTTTTGACAAACAGATCCTTAAGATTTTTTATATATTTAGATTTTAATTGCGGTTCTTCAATTTTACTGATTAAGTCAATTAAAATTTGTTCTTCAGTTTGTCCTGTGATTACTCTTACTTTTTTACAACAATTGTCATTACATCCTAATTTAATATCAGGTTCGCTTGTCGTAGAAGGTGTAGAAGAGTTAAGGGATTTATCAGAATTGTCTGAGTCTGAGTCTTCCGGATTATGAAGTCTGAAGATTTTTAGGATTTCTTCAGTCTCTTCATTGGTTAGATTAAGTTTTTTAACCTCTTTTTTAATTGGGCAATCGGGACTTTTGTGACCCTTTTTCCCACAGTTATAACATGTTATAGTGTCTTTATTGGTATTTAACCATTTAGACATTTTCCCTGTTTTCTTAGGTTTTGGTTTAGTAGTCTTTTTGGATTTTTTATAAAATTTAGGTGTAGTGAGTAAATCTTTATTATTCGCATAATAAGATTTATTTTTTGAGTATGACTTATGTTTTTTATGGGATTTGTGCTTAAGTTTTTTAGAGGTTGATGGTGCTACTGGAGGGAGACCATATTGTTCACAAAAATTCCCCATTTCATATTTGGCTTTCTTTTTATCGTTTTGTAATTGTTTACTGATCTTGAGATCAATACACATCCTAAGTCCTTCCTTTTGGATAGTACTAACAAGTTGGCCATAAGTCAGTGAATCATATTCTATGATTCCAGTGTCTTTGCTAAGGGCTTCTCTGATTTTATGGGCAAATAGATTAGGTAAACCATTAACAAATTTTTCTTTCCAGAATGATTTATTACAGTCTGGGCGAAGCATAACCCTATTGATAAAAACATCTTTATACCACCTAAAGTCACTAAGTGTTGGGCACCTGAGGTTACTAAGCTGGTAATGAATCCTAGCTTCAATATTACTTGGTGTGCCAACAAAATGTTTGACAATGGTGAATATTAAAGTGTTTAAACCATCTGGTTTTGATCTTCCAAGGCTCTCATCAAAAATTGGAATGCCATCATCATCAAGAACAACAGCATTTCTAATATCACCCCTAGAATCTGGAGTAAGGTAATTGTCCCACCAACTCCTCAGTACTCCAGTAAATCCTGAGGTAACTAAGTCAACAATTTGGGGTTCAGGATCATTAAGGTTATTTACATAACTATTAATGACCATAGACATGTGATGAATTTTGTTGAGAATTTCTTGCTCACTTAATCCATCTATGTTCCATTCATAGAGCTTGTTTGATTGAACTGAAAATTGGTTAGAAATATTTTTTTCTTCAAATTGAATATCTGGGGGAGTGGGTTTGGAGTACCAATTTTTTGTAGAACTAGAAGGTTTTTTTCATGTAAATAGTTTTAATTTTTTTAATGCAAATTTTTTTTAATTTTTTTCAACCAAAACATCCTTTAAACTTTTAAGTCATTAAATTCATTTTCTTATAAGTTGTTGGGTAAGAGATAAACTTTTTGGTTTCTTATTTTCTTATATTACCTAAGCTCTCTATGATATGTTTTTTTGTTGTTAGTTATAAATTACAGGGATTTTAAATTTATTTTATAGTTAAAAATAATTTTTCTATAATAGAATTTAATATTCTATTTAATAATAATATTAAATGTCAATTTGGTGTTGATTTGATGAAATTAAATACTAATTTAATGCTAAATTAAAGAAGTAATACTAATTTGATGAAATAAAATATTAAATTAATACAACTAAATGCTAATTTGATAAAATTAAATATCAATTTGTGTTGATTTGATGAGATGAAATGTTAATTTAGTTTAAATTACATAAAGGACATTAATTTGATAAAATTAAATATTAAATTGATTAATCTAAAGATTAATATAATAGAACTAAAAGAGGTGCATTGAAATTTTAGATTCAAGAAGAGGTAATGTTAAAGATAGATCTATTTACAGGGGGTGTCGTAGAACTTATGTGTATTTATAGGGGGTGTCGTTGAAGTTATGTGTATTTACAAAGGGTGTGGATAAAATTTATCCCATAAAATATTCAAGTATATTTTTTTAAATTAACAATCGCCATTAACTCGTAATCTGACAAACACTGACAGGGGATGACAGTGAAGTTTAAGAATCGGGAGGGGTGTCACTCTATTTAGACCTAATTACAGGGTATGTGGATAAAATTTTTCCAATTTTATATTTTAGGTCTAAACAAATTCCAAAATGAGAAAAAAAAAACAAAAAATTTCAAATTAAAAACGAGAATGTGTTCAGATGAAAAAAAAATCAAAAAAAAAAAAAAAGGAAATTTCAAAAAGTACCAAAGAAGCATGCATGGTATAACTTGGATTGAGATCTTCTCTATTACTTTTTTACACAATTTCACTCAATAATAAATCATTCATTATGTATTCATATGAGACCCATTATTCATATGTAGGTCATCACTCATACACGGTAAGTGATTTACAATTGAGTGAAATTGTGTTAAAAAGTAATAAAAATGAATTAAATTCATATGACCTTTGATCTCTCGTTGAAGTAAGACTCTGCATTCCTTACACTGAAAATTGTTCTATTGTTACACCTTCAGATAAACAATGCTGGAATAAGTCTACTAAAGCGGGCCATAGACCATACTGCTGAGGATTTCTCAAATGTAATGGGTACTAATTTTGAGGCCCCATACCATCTCTCCCAACTAGCATACCCTATGCTCAAAGCATCTGGACTCGGAAATGTCATCTTTATTTCCGCTGTTGCTGGTGTCACGGGTCTACCTGCTATCTCAGTCTATGCAGCGTCTAAAGGTATGTTTCTCGGTTTCTGCAGTGAAAAAACTAATTGAATTAGGCCTCGTATAGATAGCAGTAATCCTAGTAATGGAATACTCGGATTTTGATTACCACAAGAATCAGAGATGTTTAGGAATACAATTGATTGTTGTCAACAAAACCGGACTGAAAAGTCATTACTCACAGAGATTTCAAACTTTTACCACTGCATTGTGTTCTCAGGTGCAATCAATCAACTTACAAAGAACTTGGCTTGTGAATGGGCAGAGGACAACATTCGCATCAACACTGTTGCACCGGGGGGTGTCCGAACCACTATTATCAAACCAGTACTATTTCTCACACGTTAAACCCTCTTGTCTAACAAATCCATACTAAATATGGCTTTTTTTTTCCTTTTCTTTTTTTTACTTCTTAACAAGTAAACGCATAATACTGATTGATTAGCTGATGAATTTTATCTTCTCCAGGAGAATGTCGAAGAATCCATAGTGAAGATGATTGCGCCGATGATGACTCGAGTTCCTCTTCGTCCCATTGCTGAACCTAATGAGATTTCAGGACTTGTGGCATTCCTTTGCCTTCCAACAGCTTCATACATTACTGGGCAGGTTATTGTTGTTGATGGTGGACTTACAGCACGTTGTTACTAGCAACTCATACACTCCCTCATTCTCCCACCTTCAAGGCAATTCCTTCAAGTTTGTCTGTAGCTCACTGTACTACAGGACAGCATTCACATGTTATTAAATAAGGCTCATGTAAGAATGCAAAAACTTAAAGAAGCTTTTACTGAATTATGGTGTTTCGAGTTATTTTGGTATGAATGGATTTATGCTTTCCGGTGGGTTATGGATAAACTAATGAAGAAGAAAAATAATAAAACTGATTCTTTGTAAAGCAAAAGCGCAACCAACAAAAAGACAGTCAAGTGCCCGAAACTCAAGCCATTAATTAAAGAAGGAACAGAGAAATACAATCTTACACGGTTTCGGAAATAGTTTCCGGTAGAAAAGATGTTTGGCCAACTATTTTTTATTTTTATTCTTTGAAAACAGAAAACAAAAAGTGAATAAATTTAGAGAATAAGTTAAAACTATTTTATGTGTTTTTTAAAACCACATTTCAAAAATTTAGAAAACACCACGTCTACCACCACTACCATCACACGTCTATTACTACCATATTTCTATTTTCATTATTTTTTAGGTTATTGTTCAAACAAGTTTTACTGTTTTTTATTCTGTAAAATTGTTTTTAGAATCATTTAACGAAACAAGTTCTGCAACACAAAAATTACCAAAATAATGTTTCTATGACACAAATTCTTGCTCAAATGATCCCATTTGTTCAACTAGGTCCAAGGAACACCTGATTTAAGTTTCAAAAAAACTGTCCACAACATTAGTACTAACTTAAAGAAAATAGTCATTCTACCACAACTTTCACTTCGACCCGGTCAATTGAACCTTGCTGAATTGGCTGTAAAAACATGATGAATCTGCAGCCCCTCATGTCCGGTGGTTTACATACGCAACCTTTACGCATACCCAATAAAAGGAATCCCATCAATCTGTAATTCAAAGAAAACCATCCCACTGTCCACCAAAATTTAGTTGGCTACACGAAAATATTTTCCGCTATCCTTTGAACTCAGGGGCCAGAAACACAATCTTCAATATGCTGAACACTAAAGCGGCTAAAGTGGGTTCTGATCTTCACTTGTTTCGGAATTTGCCACCTTTTATAGTGCATATCCTCCTGCCGACCATCCCAAGCAGAAGATGAAGGGGAGAACCAATATGTGAATCATGAGAGTTACTATAATGATCCAACTGAGGGTATCCCCAACCAATAGGGCAAAAAGATTAAAGATGTGCAAAACCAACTTGACGATATTGTTAACGCCATCAAAGCATAGGCGCCAGAGCAGTTTAGCACTATGAAATTTACCATGATGGTGAAGCTTCTTGGTGCTATCCCTATTGTGACTGACAGGGTGATGGAACCCAAAAGATAAGCACTCTCACCCGAAAATTTGATGAAGGGCGTTCTAATGGGTTGTAGTCTTTTCCCACCTAGATGAAGGCTATCATAGGTTGGTGTGAATAGGATGCCGGCAAAGCTACCACTATCCACCAAAATTCTCTGACCTTGGTAGTTGGCTACCATCATGATTAAGACCAGGGGGTCATCATGGGGGAATTGGATCCCCTCGAGGTCCTTGTTTGAGAACTGGATGACTTCTTCTTTCTAATGTCGGGGCGTCTTCATCAGTTGAGGACCACTTGGCTCTGCCTGTCTGGCCCTTCTGGCATGCGCCTTCTTGGCAGAGTTGGAGTCACCTCCTCCCTCCTAACCCTCTGGAGATCATTTGGATTTTTTCGAGGAGCTGCTGACGTTCTCTGTCATCACGTATTACCGTAATAGGCCACGTTGTATGAGCTCCTCGATCTGTCTTTTAAGATCAAAGTAGTCATCAGCATCATGACCATGGTTGCGGTGGAAGCGGCAGTATTTGTTTGGATTCTTACCGTTTGGGGTGTCATCATCTTCCCTGGCCAATGTATTATAGGATCGTCTTGTATTTGGAACATGATATACTCCACTGAAACATTGAGAGGCATAAAGGCTTGTTGCTCTCTCAAAGGTAGGGGACCAAGGCGGTCCTTGTCAAAGACTCTCTCTGTCCTATTCTTCTTGTTCTCTGCTTCTCTCCTGCTTTCGCGGGTATCTTTTCTCTTCTCGCTCCTGTGGGAGGATTAACCTCGTCTAGCTTTGGTGACATCCTCGGCATTCATGTACTTTTGTGCCCTTGACAACAGCGCAGACATGCTGGATGGTGGCTTCTTTAAGACAGAGAACATGAAACTGGAGGGGTGTAGACCCGTAATAAAGGCGGTCATGGTCACCTTGTCGACTCCTCGATCTACAGAGCCTCCTCACTAAAACAAGTGAGGTAACTCCTTAGATTTTTATCTCGATCCTGCTTAATGGTGAACATATGGGTAACTGGCTTCTGGTATCAACGCCCCCTAATGAAGTGGGAGACGAAAAACTTGCTTAACTCCGCAAAGGAGTGGATGGAAGAAGGCTTGAGCTTCGCAAACCACTGTCATGCAGATCCCTTAAGGGTGGTAGGGAAGGTTCTGTACATGATCTCATGAGGCACATTATGGAGTTGCATGAGAGATTTGTATATGTTGAGATGATCAAGGCGGTCCTTGGTGCTATCAAAGATCTCAATGGCAGGCATCTTGAACTTTGAGGGTAAAGAGTAGTTGACAACATCTGCCACAAACGGAGTGTTAGTACGCCTTACCAGACCAAGAAACCCCAAGAGGCCCTGTAATTGGAAGTGTTTCGACCCTAGGGATGATAGCACATTGGAAACGAGAAAGCCTTGGCCCATCCATGGGATGTCGAACACCTGAAGATATACTATTAGGGTATAAGCTGGTGGCTCTTATTTTATTTGTCATTTGTCATTTCACTTGATTTATTTTGTTATCTATTATTTAACTATGAAATATAACTTTGCAAAGATTATTGTGTCCAAAATTGTCTTTCTTTAGTTCCATAAATCTTGTAAACAACTAGAACTTGACCTAACAAAAAAAAGGGAAACAAAAGGCAAAAGTCAGCATATTCTCGACATCAATCACTGCTCTCCGAGCCACTATCATCAAGGCTCCCTCGTCACCATCTGTCATTGGAACCTCATATGAGATGAAGTCAGAGAAATTAATAACAAGGAAAGCTACTGAGGCCTTTCCCTAAACTCTTCATAACCATCAATAAAGGTGTCTGCAACAGCCCTCTCAACTACATCCCTCCTCACCTCCATTTCAATGGAATGAGCCTCTACCATAACAGCCCTCTCCCAAGCTATATGTTGCTCGGCCTTAGCTCATATAGCCCTTTTACAGGATGCTCGTAGCTCTGACTTTGTTCTCGCCCACATAGTCGCCTTATCAGCCTCTGCCACGACAACCCTCTCCTGAGCAATACGTAGCTCGACCTCAACTCCTGCGGCCCTCTCACAGGACCTTCACAGCTCTGACTCTACTCTTGCGCAGACAGTCTCCTTATCAACCTGTAACTTCACAACCCTTTTACAGGACGCCAAAAAGCTCGGCCTCAAGAGTTGCGATTCTCTCATAAGCTAGCCTCAACTACTCCTTAGCAGTCTCTCTAAGCCTGCCTCTCTTTTGCCAGATCCCTAGATGTCTCTCCAAGCTTGATCATCCTTGAAAAAAGGTAGAAAAAAATAGCAGCCACCTACAAGCATTCAAAAAGTAGAACATGAAGGAAAAGAGGTGGGGTACAAAATCAAAGTTGAGTAAAAAGGCAAACCATGGAAAACCCCTCCATCGCAGTATTGATAATGCCTTCTGGACCTCGAGAGTCAACCTCTCTAATATCCAGGGCAGTCACAAACTCCCAAAGATGCTCCTTATCCAGATTCACTTCCTGCAGTATGGACACTAAACCACTGCTAGAAGCTGGACAACAACGTGGAGCTCCAGTCCTGACGAAAGGGAACACAGGAGTCTTAACTCCTGAAGTAATGGTCGGACTCACCCTAACACTTGAAAGAGCCGTGTACTGAGAAAAAGTAGGGCACCCTCTAATCTAGCCTCTTGGGATATAGCATGGCTCTCTAAATGTCGAGACACACTGGGGACATTGGTCTTCACCCTCTAAGAGGGAGGAGAGGACGCTACCCTAAAAGCATAGAGAGCCTTCACCATCGTTCTATCAATAGGGGTGCTTGTAATTAGAGACAAGGTCAATATAAAGAACCAGCATCGAGAAACATTAAGGAGAAAACATGATTAAAGAAAGCGGGTTTGCCTTCTGCCTTGCTGAAATCCATCATAGTCTCCCTTTCTGGCAAATACCAAAATGCCAACTTGTCGCCCATGGACACCTGACTACTGCCTGCCAAAGCCTAACTTCCCACCGCCATCGGTCTCCCTCTGGTCTCCTTGGTTTACCTCACGTTGAGGATTTCGTCAAAGCAAGGTGAGCTAAGTCCTCACGTAGTCAAGAATACAAAAAGGAGATACAAGAAAATTTTAATTTTCCACTAATGTGTGTTTAAAACTCAAATTCATAGAGAAAGAAGCATTTTTTGGGAAAATTAGGCAGTTTGATTGTCGTAGATCTTGAAAAAAATACCCAGATTCAAAAAAAATTACCTTAGCATGCCAAAACGTTGCTCACCACTAAGGATGGCGCCGCCTAGAAGATTGTAAGGTCTGGTGCTCCCGTCCTGCTGGGCTTCCCTGGCCGTAGAGCCATTCTCCCTCACAGCGCCCAAGCAGGCGTCGCCCAGGCTTGGCATGGCATCACCTATGTGGTTAGTTCTTGTGCCTTGCTTAGCGTCGCCCACACAGCCAAAGGCAGCACTGACTGTCTCCTATCCTCTGTTAACATCGCCTAGCAAGCCAAAAGAGCTGTCTGTACCTTTGCTTCCCACCATGCCATCGCCATTCAATCTCCTTCCACCAGAGCCAACACCTAGGAATTCTTTGTCTGTGGTGTCGCCTGGGTAGTTGGCCCCTCCACCTTTGGCACCACTTAGCTGTTTGTGAGTGGTCCCTTTTCCATCGATGACTACATCCAGCTATCCAGCACCAACGCCCAG